GCACAAATAAGATGCATTTTGATACCACTGTGTTACATCTCCGATCGACCATACAAACGACCCTCAGTGTGATACCTAAATACATATAAGATGCATTGTGATACCACTGTGTTACATCTCTGATCGACCACACAAACGACCCTTAGTGTGATACCAAAGCACATATAAGATGTATTGTGATACTACTGTGACTACATTGATTTCAATTCAACTAATCATATTTGGCATTCATTTTGGATCCAATCAAAGAAGTTTCACATAAAAAATTGTATATATCGAACTAAAAAACTATAAATCTAGATCAAAAGTTTGAATCCAAAATATGAAAATAATTGAATTTCAAATATGTTAGGATCGAACAAGAAGCAAAGTGAAAACCATTTTTTATCTAGTTTCTGTATCAAGCATGTCAAGAACATCAATGTCCATTTTCACGTTGTACTTAGCCATCGTTAGGGCTTAAACGGTTTTGATTTGTGGGTATCACCAACGCCTCCGATCTTGCTTACGGCTCCGATCTAAAACCTGATATGTGTATCTTCCTCTTCCTAGTTCCTACCAAACTAAAAATGGAGACCGTCGTCCCGCCATCATCGTTGATACGTCTCAACACCTTCGTCGGAAAATCCCGCATTGGAGAAACACTTCAAACTCAATGAAAGAAACACCACCTTCATCGACTGCATCCTCTCTGACTCTGGCGCGGCTTGCTCCGTCTCCGACTGCATCCCTCTTCCTCGTTGCAGTCTTCCTCTTCGCCTTCGTCTATTGTCTGTGAAGCCATGGTGTTTGGAAGCAAAGCAATGATGGAGGGATTGGTAAAGAGATGTTAGAAATCTAGTTTTCGATTGCTTGGATTCCATTGAAAGTCGTGTAACACTTTCAGATTGAAGTATTTCGATGGTACAATCTAAATTCAACCAGATAAAATTCAGTGGTTTTCGAACAGAGAATCGATTATTATGAATCTGTGTACCTTCCTCAATCAAATGACCAACTCGAAAAAATGAAAAACCATGCGAAAAACTGTCAAAAACGACAATTTTTGAACCTTAAACTGTGTTTAAAAAACCAGGCCAAAAACCGGGTTTAAAATCTCAAATTCGGATTTTTGAAGCATTTTTCACAAAGCAATATTACCCGAATAAAAAAATTTCAAGCTGACCTGGCAGCTCAACCCAGCCAGGGGCTCCGCCCCTTGGACCCCGCCACAACGCTTGACTAGATTATAAGGTTTTATTAGTTTTCAAAATAACTTAATTACTAATTTACCCTTAAACTAATTAAAGTAAATTGAATACTCAACACAATTTTACTAATTTACCCTTCTACTTATTTTAAGAAATCATATTAATTATCCTGAATGATTGGTTCACGTTGGATCTCACAGTTACCACAAACTAAACAATTCTTATTTGATTAGGGCTATACACACACACAAAGCATCATGTGAGAAAAAGATTTAAGGTGAGAAGCGTAAGAAAAGATTTGAACTGTTGATCACTTTTAATCTCATGTCCATCCACAAATTGTGCTTTAGAAGAGAATTGATCTGGTGCATCTCGCGGTGCACCTCATTAGTGTAAATTCAATTAGGATTGATTAAGGGTGAAGATCTCTTCTTATGTTTTTTTATCATAACTCAACCCTATATATATGGGGACCTTCTTTTGAAAACCTATGAAATTGTGATAACCTTGAGAACTAGTGCATCATGTGACATTTCATATTTTTTTTCATTTAAAGCTAGAATTTAATATAGTGATTAACATATATTTGTTTCACTATGTGATTGTTTTATATGTACTCGGTTCATAATGTAAACCTTTTTAGCGTGTTTGTGAAACAAAAAATACACATAAATAAGTTTGACCTTGTGAACCGAATACATATGAAACAAACACATTATGAAATTAAATACTATACTTAAATTAAACAAATCATATGAAACAGAACCTTATGGTTGAAGTTCTTACAAAACTCATAAATTTTAAAGTTCTCAAATGATTAAACCCATATATATATATATATATATGTGTGTATATATATAATGCAAATAATCAAATGTAACATTTTCAAATATTGCAACCCAATGAAATTTAATCATAACCGTAGATCTTCTCCCTTTTAAGGAGTATCTTCGTTATTAAATTTTTTTTAAATGCTACCGTCTTATCTCCAACTGTTGATTGTTTAATTGTGTGGTATAAATGAACTTACATCAGTAGCAACGTTTAAGAGGTTATATTTGATGAGCTCTCTCTATACACACACATGAAGGATCGTGTAAGAATACATACTTATTTATTACGACAATACATACATATTTAGAGTTTATATTGACACAAAAATAAATTAAATTTAATGAAATAAAATTAAAATTAAAATTCTTTTAAGAATTTTTGTGTTTTGACCCCACCATAAGTTGCATGAAATGCGTCTGACCACCATCTGGCATGGAACGACACGATACTCTGTTAACTAAAGATTTCTAATTATATTTAATTACTTAAAAATCAAACAATAATTTAATATATAATGCACAGATAATTTCCATTCAAGAGAATCTTCAATTATCGATATTATTTTTTATATTAAAATATTGTAATTTTGGTCGGAAATCTAAGATTACAACCATCACTACATATCTTTAATTATCGGTATAAATAATATTGTAATTTATCAACAAAAGATAATATAAATGAACAATATTATACAAAGTTTCATCTGGGGAAAGATTTCTTTTGGGCATAATTTGCTTTTGTAAGCTTATCCCATATTCAAACAGGTCACCACGACAGTCCACCACTAATCAATGTTGTAGGGTTTTACGGGGTGTTTGGAATTGCTTATAAAAACAACTTATTGACTTATTTTGGTGTGACACTGGTAATAAGCACTTTCGAGTGTTTGGATAAACAACTTATACCGGTGTCAAACCGATAATAAGGAGATTTTGAAGAATTTAAAGCATTCGAACTTATAATAAGTTGATAAACACTTTTGTAGAAAAACATAAGTTGTTTCAAATAAGCAATCCCAAACACCCCCTAAATATTCTTAACGTTGTTCTTGATTTTTAATGTTTTTGATAAATGGTTTTGTATCACAAATTTGCACAAATATTTGAAATGAAACAGAACGTTGTTGACATTCATCTTATACGTTCTTGTTCTTGATCGTCATTTTGTATCACAAAATTTTGAATATCTGATGTTATTTTTTTTCCTTAGTTGAATACAGGTTGAAGAAGCGATGGATGGAAATGAAGAAGGTAACTACAAATATGTTTGATGTGGAAAATGATTAAAATATCTGATATAATTAACATGTGAAAGGTACTTAACATAAGATATCAACAACTGTTAAAGCTATAGACCAAATTCGCAATAAATCACAAATCGAAGGTAATTTTAAATTAAAATATCGAAAAATGAAATCCAATATTTCATTGAAACAACACATGTGCGATTTTGTATTTACTTTTGATTTTTTTTAGAAAACAAGAAAAAGAGAATAATTTGATTCTCTGAAATCTTATTTGTCAGTAACAAAGAAAAAATATTTAGTTTTCGATCTAACTTGTGGACGTTTACTAAATGCTTATTCGGATAAGTAAACACCAATTCATATTACCTTACCAGATGAATATGGTAAAGATCAAAGATCTTACCCGGTAAGAACGAGACAAAGACCAAGAGTCTTACCCGGTAAGCGATGACGACAACTCTTACCACGGTAAGCGTTTACCGGGTAAATTTTTGCATACGATACCGTTTTGGTGGACTAAAATCTTACCCGGTAAGTAAATTATAGTATTAAATTTTACTGGTAAGCGCTTACTGAATAAGTGTTTGGTAAACAGTCCCAAAATTTCTTCCACTTTGTTCTTTTTTTTTTCACGATTATTTATTTAGATCAAACATATCGTATTTGTACCATATAAATAACGTATTTTTGTTCATTTTGTTTCAAATAACAAATAAAAACTGGTATATAAGTTTATTATTAATTAATGAAATAATTATCATTATTTATTAAATAAAAATAATTTATTTATTTAGAAAATTCTATACTATCTAGAATACATTATTAATATAATGCAAACAACTTAAATAAATTTTTAATAGGATGTTCACATTGTGTTCACAAATGATATGATAGATCTAAAAATTGGTATTTAATTTGTTTTCACAATATATTCACAAACTATACTAATATTTTTAAGAAATCTAAACTGTATTATGAAGCATTTGACAAAAACTCTTAAGAACCATTTTTAAAGCATGAAGTATTGATTATTGATGCATATTACTTAAACTTCAAGATTACAAGTAGATTATACGTAAGTACAATTTATTAAAGCTCCATGTTTGAATTTGTGTAACTAACTGCAGATAAACATAATCAAATAAAAAATAAATATCTCTTTTGAAATATAAAAAATCTAAAATATAATTAGAATAATCATTGAGTTCTAACAAACTACTTAATTATTATCTTTATAAAAAATTATATTATTAAACAAAAAAAATAAAAAAATGAATTAGAGAAATACACAAAAATGGAGAAATTGTAAATAGTTAGTTTCATACTAATATCAACATTTTTTCATAGTTTTTTATGATATATCTTCATATTTATATTTTATTTAAAAATAAAATATTATCGCTTTCTCAAAAGTCATAACCACATAAAACTGTATTATAACATCAACTGAGACAAAAAAAAAAAAAACGAAACATTAAAATCGAAATGTATCTCGATTCATTGTGCGAGTACCGTTCTAGTAATTCATAATTTGTTCACCTAGTTAATATTCTATTATGTGTGTGTACACACACATACAAACACCTTATTAATCTTCGAATCAAATTTAATCTACCTCCACTCTTCCTTTATTTTGTCTCTTCTTTCTTTCTCTGTTATATATAGTTATATATATTTATATATATATGTATGTATATATATGGCCAGTTTTGTATTCAAGAGAGAGAGAGATGGAAGAGTCGGCGGAGAGGAGCGGAAAGGGGGAAAAATGGGCGGATTACGGTGATGAGGTGAAGAAGATGAGTGTAATCGCAGCACCGATGGTGGTGGTGGCGGTGTTACAGTATCTGATGCAACTGGTGGCGGTGGTGATGGTGGGACATATTGATGAAATCGCACTGTCTAGTGTCGCTATTGCTACCTCCCTCACCAATGTCACTGGTTTCAGCCTTCTTGTAAGTTCTCTTACTTTGGCTTAATCATATCATTAATCTCTTAATCATTTACATCGGCCAGACACAAACCATCAAATCTGTATATATACAGAAATAAGACCCGTTTCATTAGGGAAACCGGTGTATCCGCCCAAAAGTAAAAAACTGGAGACGGGACGGTGTTGGGTATACATTATCCCTGATTTGCTCCGTCGCTGTATATTAAATATATTATATATTTACTATTAAATATATTATTTATAAGTAATTAGATTTAATATCTTTTAGATTTAAAAACAGTCCTGCATACATTTTTTAGATAAAAAACATGTAGAGTCAAAAACGTTTGATCAAACAATTACGTATAGTGTTGTGATTTTGTTAACATATGAATATCTGGTACTCCATAAAAGCAAAATTTTTGGAAATATGTGAGATTTAAACACATATCATTTTGGATCAAGTGTGATGCTTAACACATTTGATTTAAAATACGTCATACAAATGGAAAAAAGAAATCCCCAATTCCCTGTTGAAGACGGGAATGGGGATCGAAGACAAAAATGGAGATCGAGGACGGGGATGTGGATTGGGGTCTCCGCCCCATTCTCATGCCTAAACATGACCTCTCTCTATATACTACAAAAAAATCGTGTTTATATAAGATGCTAAAAGTGTCTAAAGGTCAATTACCAAACGCTTAGCGGCAAGAGTTACCACTACCACTTGCCTTGTCATTTAACATTATTGGTCATTAAAATGGATTGTTGGTAAGCGTTTACCGGGTAAGAGTCTTTTACCTCACTTACAGGGTAAGATTTTCGGTCTTTGCTTTGCCTCTTACGAGGTAAAATTCTTGATCCTTGTCATTCTCACTTGGTAAGCATTTGGTAGACAACCCTTAAATATCCTAGTACATTGACTTAAATATATATGACTTAACAATTATGCGTCATAACGTTTATACAACATTTGTTGGGTTTTTAACAAGTTTTTAGAAAATAAAGTAACTATTAGTTTTTTTTATAAAACACTTTTGAGAAAATGTCTTATAAACACATTTTTTTACAAGACACTTGTTTTTACAAGACATTTTTCAGAAAATACCAAAATTAATAAAACACATTATTTCAAAAATGTTTCTAGCTAAAAAGAAGTTGTGAAGAGTGTCAAAAAACATCCTATAAACATATTGTAACACTTTTAACTAAGACACTATAAACTTAAATCCTATAAACCAGTCTATTAACATTTTTGGGTTTTTTTAACGTCCTGTAAATCAAATTTTTGTTTTAATTATAAACTGTTCTTTTAATCTGTTAACGTAAATTATGATTTTATAATCATAAATCACAATTTATGTTTTTTGAATAGTCAGGACTGGTGGGAGGCCTAGAAACCCTTTGTGGCCAAGCTTTTGGAGCCAAACAATACAACAAAATTGGTGTGTACACTTGCAGTGCCATCATCTCATTACTATTAGTATGCATCCCTGTTTCAATCTCCTGGATCTTTCTCGACAAATTCCTAATATTGATTGGCCAAGACCCTTTGATCTCGATCCAAGCCCGCAAGTTCTCGATCTACCTCATTCCGGCCCTGTTTGCCGGTGCAATTCTTAAGCCGCTCGTGAGATCGCTTCAGACCCAGAGCTTGACTAGACCGTTGCTCGTCAGCTCTGCGCTCGCTTTATGTATCAATGTCCCTCTTTGTTGGGCTTTCGTGTTCAAGTTTAAGATGGGAAGCGTTGGTGCGGCCATCGCGTTTAGTGTGTCGAACTGGCTTTACTTGATGTTGATCGTGTTCCATATCAAATTCTCGATATCGTGTGAGAATACCCGCGTGACTTTATCCATGAACGCGATCGTTGGTATCAAGGAATTCTTCCGATTTGGGATCCCATCAGCCGTAATGATTTGGTAAACTCGGGGATCCAGTTTAGGTTCTCAGTAAACATTTTATAATGACATTTAGGCATATAAAATCAGCGTTGTAGTGCTTTTTAACCTTGGTGCTAACAAAATCAGCTTTATCAAAGGGTCTTTGGCCTAGCGGATACAGATCTGAGTCTTTGGCTTCCCAGTAGGTTGAGCTTGATTGTTGCATTTGCCATGCAAATTATATACTTCAAAAAATCAGCGTTTTAGGATACCAAACATGTCTAAATGTCGGTTTTGTTGCAGTGCTTCCTTAACCCACTTTTCTGATCGTAATCCATATGTTTTCAGCCTCAAATGGTGGTCGCTCGAAGTGCTTGTCTTGATCTCCGGTTTGTTACCAAATCCAAAGCTCGAAACCTCGGTCCTTTCTATATGGTATACTTTCGTTAATTCGGTTTTTCCTTGCTAATTAACTTATGTTTAACGACGAACATCTTATAATCGTTTCTATTTCTATATTTGTTTCGATCAGCTTAACGATCTCAACTTTACACTTCACCATACCATATGGATTCGGGGCAGCTGCAAGGTATTTTTCAAGGATTATATACATCACACCATTATGTCACTACAACAAAAGTGGCTTTATAGGACATTTGTTCTAAGCGTCCTGATATAATATTTTATGGAAATAAGTTTATGGGACCAAATCATAAAACATCTTATCTAAAAGATTTACAATAGGTTTATAGAACGCTTTTAGGCGTTTTAACAAACTTTTTAGGATGCTTTTAAAATAATGTGTTTGTTAGCTATTTTTATAGGACACTTTGGAGAAGTGTCCTATATACCCATCTTTTTATAGGGCAATTATGTTTATAGGACACTTTTTTAAATAGTGTCGTATAAAATAACTAATACGACATTTTATTTTAAAAACGTCCTTTCTTAAAACACCTTTGATATTCAATTCCACAGCACTCGGGTTTCAAATGAGTTAGGGGCTGGGAACCCACGAGCAGCACGACTAGCCGTTCGTGTTGTGATGCTTGTAATCATCACCGAAGCCACAATAGTAAGCACGGCGGTTTTCGGTTGCCGCCATTTTCTTGGAAAAGCTTACAGCAACGACAAACCCGTTGTGAGCTATGTTGCATCGATGGCTCCGTTTATATCTGTCTCAATCATCACCGATAGCCTACAAGCAGTGATTTCTGGTCAGTGTTCGATCATCACTTCTTTTTAAAGTATATAATCTTTATATACACCAAATACTTACACATTCGTCACATTTCGTGAGTTTTGAACCTTGATCTCTAAGAAGGCTAGAATTTTGTAGTGACCCGGATACCGCTATTTGGTCAGTGATCACCAGTTTGTCGGCGCAGACTGGGCCACTACCAAATCTTGGCTAAAAGTTTGGCGAATGTTATAGGAATCGCACGGGGAAGTGGGTGGCAACATATAGGAGCTTACGTGAATCTTGGAGCATTTTATCTGTTTGGGATCCCTGCAGCGGTCGGATTAGGGTTCCCTTTACATTTGAAAGCCAAGGGACTTTGGATCGGGATCGTGATAGGATCAGTCATACAATCGACGAGCCTGTCACTGATAACTGGACTCACTGATTGGCGAAAACAGGTTCGGTTTCAGGTCCTATTAGTTTGTTTATCGTTAATCTTCATGTCAGTTTCGCACATTGTTTTTATTGTTAGAACATGTGGAACCTCATTAGATTACTTTCCAAAAAAAAAGGTCCCAACATGTATTAAAGAGACAGTGTTAAAGTCTAGCCGAAGTGACGCTTCAATAATTGTGTTTACAGGCAACGAAGGCGAAGGAACGAATGTCGAAAGAGGAACTAGAGAATGAGTCCACATAGAAATGTCTCCTCCTTTCCACCATCAATGTTAATAAAGAAAATAGAAAGATAAATTAATATATATATATATATATGTGTGTGTGTGTGTGTGAGAGAGAGAAATTACGTTCACGTGACACGTGAGACCCGTGAGATCACATTTTTACACTTGAAACTTTACAATAAAGCTCTGTAAAGGTAGATTAAAACCGAATTTCACAGCAAAAACACTATGAAAGTCACTTTCACACCTTTAACTGTGAAGTTTCAAATGTAAAAAAATGGTCTTACTAGTCTCATTAGAACAGACTGGTTTCACATAATTACAAGTATATATATATATATACACACACATCTATATTAAATAAAGAGGATATTGAGTTCGGGGATGGATGATTTTTAGGAAATATCTAAAAAAAATCATCTATCTCCAAATTCTATACATCTAACCTGTCTTGTCTACCAATACTGTAAAGAGAAAGAAGAAAAAAAAAACATTAAATAAATATATATTAATTATAATATGATATTTGTATTTAAATGGTTGGTGAGACACCAGAGGGACATTGAATTTGAGGACAGATAACACCAGAGGGACATTGAATTTGAGGACAGATAAATTTTAAGACAAATATCGGTATAACCTTTTATTTCCATCATTTGTAACGTATTGATTGAAATCAATGTAGCATGCCCTCGATGTTCGAACAATTTCATATGACCATTGATCTTTTATTAGCCTTTAACCCTTTCGTTATATGTATTTTTTGTTTTGTGTTAAGACATTGTTATATGACTAAAACAAATAATCATATCGATCAATATTGATCGGACCTTCAGGGCTCCTCTTCATAGGTTATCAGTTTAAGTCCTTCCAAGATTACTAGATTAATTTACTGAAGGAAATTTTGTGATCCAGGGCTTGTCTATTAATATGTTTTTTTGGACCTTACCGATCATCACTTTTTGTGGACATTCCTCTTTTAGCTTCCCATCATCATAGTCATTGTTCACATAATAACCCACACGCACAAATTCCCGACCTATATAACACTACCAAACAGGGCAACTTTTCCATTAAAGTCCAATACGTTCCATTAAAGCCTAATAGGATCCATTAAAGCACAATACGTTCCATTAAAGCCTGATCGTTCTATTAAAGCCCGATCGTTCTATTAAAGCCAAATACGTTCCATTAAAGCCCAATATGATCCATTAAAACCCAATACGGTCCATTGAAGCCCAATACGATCCATTAAATCACAATACGTTTCATTAAAGCACAATACGTTCCATTAAAACCCAATATGTTCCATTAAAGCCCAATATGATCCATAAAATTTCAATACGGTCCATTAAAGTCTAATCGGTCCATTAAAGCCCAATCGGTCCATTAAAGCCCAACAGAACCGTTAAAGCCCAATATGATCCATTAAATCCCAACTAACATCCGTTAAAGCCCAACATAACTGTTAAAGCCCAATACGATCCATTAAATCTCAACTAACATTCATTAAAACCCAATAGAACCGTTAAAACCCAATACGATTCATTAAAGCCCAACTAACATCCAGTAAAGCCCAATATGATCCATTAAAGCCCAATAGAACCGTTAAAGGCCAATACGATTCAATCAGAAAAAAAAAATTTGAAAAATAAGAAAAAAAGAATACCCGCCGGAAATCCGCCGGTAAAGGAATTTGTTTTTTTTTATAAAATCATGGATAAACATTACCGATGGATTACCGGCAGCCCTTCGACTTCCGCCGGAAATATTTTAAAAATAATTTTTAATTTCAAATTAATTTTCGGCGGATAATAATTTTAAAAAGTTAATTAAATATCAGCCGGAATCCGCCTGTAAGTTATTTTGATTAAATTTAATTACAAATCTAATATAATTAATTAAGAAATCCGCCGGAAATATTACCAGAATAATATTTCCAGCGGATTTCTGGCAGAAGTCAACATAAGTTGACTTTTTTGATGTCCGCCGGTGTTCCGCCGCCGGAAAAATCTCGCCGGAAATACCCATTATTCTAGTAGTGTAAGAGCGGGTTAACAAAAGTATAGTCACTTCGATTATATCTTCTTCACGAATCTCTGATGGGTCTGGAGGGCCAGCTTAACAATGGCATATGAGAGGGCTTAATTTGAGTTGTCAATAATGAATTAATATAGTTAATTCTGCGACGTAATTTACATGAATCCTATAATCATGAACCATATGATTGTCATAAGTGTAATATTAATCTTGCATCAAATGAACACTACCTTCAGACATTCTAATGTGATGTTATTTGCTGATATAGTCTGATTGCAAAAAAAGCGATTCAACTTCTCCCTCGTTGTCCTATAACCTCTAATGTGTGTTGTATATCATGAAAAATAGAGTGTCTTTCATGATGGAAAGACGCTTTAATTTAATGATATACAACATAAATTAGTTAGAGGTTATAGATAAGGATGGAGGAACTGAATTGGTCTCTTTTTCTTTTGCAGTTGGATCAAACGAGCAAATAACACCAACGTTAAAATGTTTGAAGATAATATTTACTTGATACAAGATCAATATTATGCTTGTGATAATTGTGTAGTTCATGATCTTAGGGTTCATGTAAATTAGACTTATATAGGATGTGTATCTATATTGGTTATTATCGACAAGCCACATTAAGCCCTTGTATGACATTGTTAGGCGGATCCTCCAGGCCCATCAAAAATTCGTAAAGAAGATGTAATCGGAGTGACTGTACTTTTGCTAACCTGTTCTTATGTGGGTCGGAAATTTGTGCGTGTGGGTTATTATGTAAACAATGATTATGACGATGAGAAGCTAAGAGAGGAACCTCCACAAAAGGTGATGACCGATAAGGTTCAAAGAAACATATTAACAGATAAGCCTAGGGTTACAAAGTTTCCAATCAACTTTCATCCTAATTCTTGATCTCGACTTCTTCTCTATGCCAAGCAATCTTTGTTGGTTCCAGTTTTGGTGCAGTTTTGTTAATATGGAACCTTAAGGGCCGCTTATCAACACAAATTGGATAACGGTTCACCGTGTAAGTGTTTGTTTGCTGTTAAAGCTAATCGGTTAAGACTCTCAGTTACGAAAATAACACGATAAAATTGTTGGTAAGATCATTATCTCCTAACAGGTAAAAGTTCATTGGCGGTAAGTGTTTAGTTAACATCTCTTTATTTTTAGGTTTGTTGGTAGTAAATTGTGGGATGATGCTTGTGATGGTAACATTTTAGAAATGTTTTTTGGTTCGTTAATTTGCTGAAAATATGGTGTAGATGCACAAGATGGATCGAAAACCGAGACCAAACTCGGTAACTAATGAGTGAATACCAGTTACATACGAACTAGGATTTGGAACCAATTGAACTGTGCCGTCTCTACCAGTTATGAAGATTCGGCAATAAACTGGTTATAGGGATGGTTAGATTTTGTCTTGAATTTTTCTCTTTGTTTTTCACTGGTTTTTATTTACAAGTTTTAGATTTCACTTATTTTACATCTTTGCCATTATACTTATTTACTATCTTTTACCTTTTTTTTTCCATTAATACCTGTATGAGTTAAGTTATCTGTCTAGATAAGTATGTCCGATTGAGGGACGAGATACTGATGGATTTGAGGGTGGCAAAAAGAGAGGGTTGGATAATTTCTGATGCATTTTTGGCATTAATTGTTTGAGGTGGCTTAATAGTTAATAGGGACAAATGAGGAGTTCTATCTTATTTCATATAGCCATTTTGGTTTAATGGCTTAACAATTAAGCCATAAAGAAACACTTGTGTACGGCTAAGCGATTAGGCCTTTTAAATCATCAAGCTCATTCAACTATAAGTAAACAGCTCCGTAGTTTTATATAACTTATGAGACTTGTACAAAAGTAGAAATAAAGCCAAAGCAATGGGCTCTCAAAACGAATGATAAGATAACATGGGCTTGTTGGGGGCTCTTGGGTCCTTTTTGAGCCCAATAGTAATTTTATTTTCGTTTTTTTTTGTTTCTTGGCCCGTAAAAGGGTTGTATAATCTGGATTTTCATCCAATCATTTTCACCAATTCCATCATCAACACGTAGTTTGATTTAGGGGCCGTTTATCAAATACTTACTCGATAAGTGTTTACGGGTAAAATTTAACACTATTAATTACTTACCGGGTAAGATTTTAGTCCATCAAAACGACATTGTATGCAACAATTCACCCGGTAAGCGCTTATCGTGGTAAGAATCGTCGCCCTCACTTACCGGGTAAGACTCATGGTCCTTGTCTCGCTCTTACCGGATAAATTTTTTAGTTCTTACCATATTCATCCGGTGAGGTATCGTGACTTGGTAAGCGTTTACCCGGGTAAGTGTTTGGTAAACGACCCCTTAGTTGTTATATCCTTTAGGCGAACATTGAGAATATGACGAAATTTTGATTTACGACACTACGATTATGTAGGTCGCAATCTGATCTTGTTTATAAACTAATTTGCAATTCAAGTAAGAGCATCTCCAATGGTAAAATTAACGATTTGATGAAAAGGTTGAGAATCACTTGATGAAATAAGTTCACCACTGGAGTTATAACTTAGAAGAAAATCTTGACGTTCAAAAGCTTGAGAGATGTCAACTGTTTGAAGATTAAAAGAATGTTACATAAATTACCCTTAAACTATCATGTATTTACGTTTTTCGTTTTCCACTTTTAATCAATAATGCTTCATTTATTAAATACATAAAATGAAGTTATTATTATTTTAACAAAATACGTCATTGGAAAGCGTTTGTAAAGATGATTAAAATGACACCAATATCGAATATTAAAGAATACAAAAACTAAATACTTTTATTTTTAGAAATCATAGTTTTAAGTGTATATAGTTTATATTTGCAGAAAAATGCATATTATTAGGTTTAAGTCTAGTTTTTTTTTAATATCGTACTGTAATATTTTTTATAAAATTGCATGTTATTGTTAAATATTATTTGTTTAAAAAATGTATTTGGACTTTAAATAACGACAAATTATA